ACACACACAGTGGCGAGCCCTGACGCATTTGGCACGGCCCGGCGCCTAACCATTGTAATTATCCAGACGATTAATTGTGTTATCTGTACTGCGGGGTGGGGCGGGGTGGGGCGGGGTGGGGCGGGGTGGGGTGGGGTGGGGCGAGGCGGGGCGGGGCGGGGCGCCACCGATAGCCGCGTGGCGGACGGGGCCGAAGGTGCGAAGAAAGGGGGCCGCGGTGGCTCAAATTGGTGGCTTAATTACGAGCGTACGCAAATTCAACTGCCTGATGGCCTTCCTTGTTTTTCACGCCCCATTCCGTGTCGGCCACATCATATTTTCGCCCCGCCGAGGCCACCGCGGCCGCCATCTTGCCGCGGTGCACACTGTAAAAGGGCCCCGCCGAATAGCGCCCTTCATTACTTCGTCGTTAAATGTTACGACAGGAAGCGCGAGTCCTTTAAATTCATTCCGGGGATGCGTTCCCGCCGAGGGTCGTCGTCGTGGAGGTGTTTTGGCAACAACACCTGTCTCGGTCCGTCGGCCGGGAGGTAGCGCGGCGGTCGGCGTGGTCCCACCAGGTGGTGGTGGAGGCCCGGCTCCTCTGCCACATTAGATCCTCTGGGAAAGGCAAATACGGCAAGCAGGTACTTTAATAACAAGGTGGACAGGGCCACAGGCCACAGCCCCGTGGCCCCGCCCAGCGCATTCTCTACGATTTTCTCCGAGGATTTCGGAAAGATAACATGGGAGCGTAATCGCACATTTTACATCATCTCATCAGACCTCGCATCAGACACATGTGAAAAAACACAAACCACCAGCCAAGTTATTAAATACACCAAAACTATCCAAAATCGCATTTTTCTTTCTCCTTTGGCTTTGGTTGTGCTCATCGGAAGCTCCTTCCACGGTTATCGAGCGCTGGCCATAGACATAGACATGCGCTTCGCGTGTGCCACACCGCTCGAGGCATCGCGACAGTTTTTCTGTTCCTACATTTTCCTCTTCCCACAACAACTTCCGCGCCGCATCGCGCCGCAGGGCGCTGCCATGCCGGGAACCCATTATCATATGAAAAAGAAGAAGAATGGGAAAATGCATTTCAATTTCCGATTTGGGGCAGACGGCGTTCGGTGCCTGGCGGGCAGGCCGGGCAGGCCGCTGCCACCCTCGAGGGGGTGCAGTGGGCCAGAAGACCGGCGAAGGCGGCCAAAACTCTTAGTGTTTCTTGAGCTCCAAAGTCGCTTAAGAGGACTTGAACCCTAGCGCGTGACCCCACCTATGGATTCCTCGTTCGGAGAGCAATCCATTGATGGGGTCACAAGATCGGTTCGAGCAACATTTAGCGTCTCTGGAGCTGAAAACGCGTCTAGAGTTTTGGCCGCACCAGTCTTCCGGCCCACTGTGGGGCTCCAGCCACTGGAAAACTGGAAACGAGGCAGGCACTGTAGTGACTGCAGGGACTGGGCCGCGTCGCCATCTTTGGCGGAGGGCCGCGTGGGCCAAGCGGGCCAACCAGGCCGCGGGGCCTCGCCGGGGCGCAAAGCGAGCGGCGTGGCGCAGTGTTTCTAATTAGATGTGTACCTTATCGCCGGCCGGGCCCTTAATAATAATTACCATCATAATTCATTATTAAAGACGCGATGCCTCGCGAGGAGCGCGGGGCCTTCGAACGCCGCCAGCGCGCGGTCCCACGCGCCGAAGCCCAGTTACCTCTGTGCGCGGTGTCAGTGACTCCCTCCGCCTTCTTTTTAAAAAGCCACCGCCTTCGGAAGAAAAGAGAGCGCTGCCGCCTATCTGGCGCGCGAATTTGAATTCATTATCGGCTGTTAAAGACGGGCCGGCCGGCCGCTGCTGCAACATTGTTCTCGCTTCCTTCCGACCAGCTTAAACGAGGCGAAAGCACCGCATCGATTTGCAGTAAAAACCCCGCAAAACACTCTCACACACACGCACACAAACACACACACACAGTGCAAACACAGCACTAATTCCCCCTCGAAGCCACCACCGCCGCCGCCGCCGCTCCGCTCTTATTCGGAACGACCCGTGCAGCCGAAACCAATTGCCACGGCGCAATTTGTTTTAATCGTGGAAAATGAGAAAAGGTCGCCGCTGGTTCGAGGATGCGGCCGGCCGTTAGATGTCCCCGATAAGGGTCAACCATGGCCAGCCTGGAGAGGCCGATTCCGAGAGTCGTTCTCGTCGCTCTGTCTCTCTCGCACTCATGAGGCGCCCCCATATGAGTGCGAGAGAGACAGAGCGACGAAAACGACTCGCTCGGAGTCAGTCGACTGGAGGCCGAGGCCGGAGGCCAGCCCCCAACAGCGTCGCCATGGCCCGCGCCTCCGCCATGTGACGCCCGCCCCACCAACCGGCCAACCAACCGGCCAACCGGCACTCCGTTCCGCGCTCCAATTGTTTTACCAATTCCGGAGTCATATACCGAGTTAATTGCATCCTCTTCATGTGGGTCCGTGTTGTTCAATAAGTGCGCGGCGGCATACGCGGACACACACACACACATATATACACACACACGCACACACACACGCACACACCACCACACACACACACACACACACACACACACAGCGGGGTGACGATCGGTGGGCGCGGCCTCTTGTTAGCCCCTAGTAATAGAAAGAACATTCCGGTACGGCGCGCGCTTCGACCGCCCTCTCTCTCTCTCTCTCTCTCTCTCTCTCTCTCTCTCTCTCTCTCTCTCTCTCTCTCTCTCTCTCTCTCTCTACGACCGCCTCTTTCAACAGAAGGCGCCTGTTAAAAATTTTGTTTTTGCTGTCATTAAATAAATTTGAAGAATTGCAGTTGTTGTTTTTTGAAAACTTTAAGTTTGTGCGTTTTATTTGAACTAAAACGTTTGAAGATTTTCATTGTTAGCATTTTAAGGGGTTTTTTTTGCACGCGGACTGTTGTCCCATACATTACCGAAGAGCACACCCTAAGCGGCTTGCACGAACGGCGCGCGAGGACGCGAAGGCCCCGCAGAGACTTTCTGCGCTCTCTGAGCTGCTCTTGCTCGCCGCGAACGGGGATCGGGAATGGCCCTCTCACAACATTTCCATTATTGGTTCCGCTAATCCCCGAAAATATCGCCCTGCCGCCCCGCCCCGCCCCGCCCCGGCCAAGTCAAGCGGCCTCCGCGGCGCGCGCTCTGTTTGCTCTACACCTCGTTCCCCGGCGTCCAGGCGAGCGTCCTGGCGTCGGGGAATAGATTTATGTTGCGTGCGCGTGCGTGCACTGGCCATCATTTTTTGAGCGTGGCGGTGCGCACTCGCTACGCGCGGCCAGCAAGGCAAAGGCAGCAAGGCGCAGCCAACCATCGTGTCCGCAGCCAGGCCATCCAGGCGGCAGCGCGGCCACGCGTCGCGGCCTCCCAGATTATACGGACGCCATAACATTTAGTGCCAATGAGTGGAAACGCGGCCGTAATTCGCCTCACTTACCTCGAAACCGGCGAGATTTATCTCCTGTTTCCTTGTTTATTTTTTATTTCCCCCCGCGAGCTCACCGTATTTTCAGCGGCAGCGGTCTGCATTTTCATTCGTCGGCTGTGTGTGTGTGGTGAAGTGAGTTCTGGTATTCATGGGGAGGCCCTGCCTGCCCTGCGCCACGCCCAGGAGATGGCCGCGCGATGAACTCCAAGACCACTTCGCTATTCGACGGACGAATCTCTCGGCCCTGGAATTAATCACCCCCGCAAACAACACTCATTCCCTTCCGCGCATTGCGCTCGCATTGCGCACGCACGGCCGCCTGCAGAAACTGTTTTCTCACGATCGGGAAAGAAATGAGTTTATCATCACCATGCGAGTGCCGGCGATAGTCATCACACACACACACTTACACGTATAATAGACGAAGAAATGCAACAATTAAAGATGTGGGCCCGTTACTCGGAGGATGATATCGCCTGCGCACTTATTGTTTATTATATAGACGTGAGTGGAAAAAAAATGTTAAAAATTTGAACGAACGAAGTATTGTGTGCAAAGCCTTGCAAAGCACGGCCTGGAAAAAAGGGAAAATATAATTTCGGGGCTTGGCTGCAGCTCGGGCCGTGGCATGAGCCCTGGCTGCCCTGGCGACAGTTTGCTGCACGCCGCTGCACCGTTCCTGCTGTGTAATTACTGCGTCCATTGTTTGGGTCAGGCCGGCCTGGTGTCCGGCAGCGTGTCATTCCCCGCCGGTTTTGCATACAACGACGTCCCGGGGGTGTTTATTGGCTAGTTACTGCTCGCTGCACCGGGCCGATTCCGAGTCGCGGCTCGCTCTGTCTCTCTCGCACTCGCGGGGCGGCCCCCATGGGTGCGGAGAGAGACAGAGCGGCGAAGCACTGCGCGGAATCGCCCGGCCGGTCGCCACCGGGCAGCAAGACCAGGCAAGACACGTCCCGCGACGCCATTATGCTCAATTTTCAGGCCAATTTGGGGAAAAGTGTGTCGCCGTGCGGGACGCGCCCGGACGAACGGACTGACTGATGAGGGCGTGATTTAGGGCCGTAGGGCCGTAGGGGAAGGGGGCCTCCGAGTGCAACATGGCGCCCCAATCACACGGCGACTTTACTGCAGGGCCGTAAGTTATGCATTTCACACTTGCAAGGCCCCCTCGCATGCACACAGCCGCACACACACAAGAACGCGGTGCACCAAGGGGACCTCCACGACTCTCCGCTCGGAACGGTACTGGAAATGATACCGACTAAAACCTGTGCGCACGCGCGCGTGTGTGTGTGTGTGTGTGTGTGTGTGTGTGTGTGTAGTATTGTGACGGGCCGGCAGCAGATGCCTGTTCCCCCTTAAACACCTCACTTGCATTCACACACACTCACAGACGCACACAGACACTCGCACACGCGCGCACGCACGGCGGCCTTGCCTGGCTGATGAAGTTATTACGGAGACGGCGGCTCGCCTGGCTGGTCGACTCCCCCCTCCCCCTTTCTCCCCTTCCCGCGCACCTTCTCGCTCGGCCCAGCGTGGCGCATCCTCTATACTTCACGCAGTCTGGGAAACCATTAATAGAATAATTACTCCGCCTGAAATATTGTGTGAGAACAAAGACGTTAAAGTGAAATGTGGTCGTGTAGAGTGTCGGTGTGTGTGTGTGGAGTGCGTGTGCGGCGAATGCTCACGTAAGGCTCCCAAAATGCTGAGAAACATTATATTTGGAGGGGGAACGTTGTGGAGGAAAGGTCCGGTGGGTATTGGAACCCGAGGAGGACGACGAGGACGTACACGGAGGAACGGCGCACCCCTCAGAGATCCCGGCAGAGACGAGCACCTTGCCGCCGACCACCGCGTTGACTCATCGACGCCGTGGTTGCCCGCGGCCCCCATGGAGTCTTAAGGGGCTCCGCGCCACCCCACCCCGCCCCGCCGCGCCCCGCCCCGCCACACTGTCGACGACGGCGCTATAGTGGCCGAGCAGACGCGGCGCCGCGGTAGTTCTCAGCACGCCAAAGTAAATTGCAGGTTGTACACACTGGAAGCGTTGGAGGCAGTCACATTACTGAGATGTATGTGCTTTACGCACACCATGCGGGCCGGCGGGGCTGGCGGGGCTGGCGGGGCTGGCGGGGCTGGCGGGGCTGGCGGGGCTGGCAGCCACGTCTTGTCCGGCGCGCACGGCGAGCACCCCGTCGAGATAAGCGCCCGTATCAAGACGCCGCTGGCCGTCCCGCTATCGCCATCGACAAGCATCGGACCACCGGAAGCGCGGGGACGTCTCCGGAGGACGCGCCGGAAAAGCGCCGGAAAAGCATCGCCGCGGAGCAAGGAAGACAAACACGCTTTTCCTCCTAAATCTGACCCACCAACTCACCGGCGATAACACAAACACGAAAACAAATCCTGGGTGGTGTTATTCGGGAGGGCTGAACAGTGTGGCTTTTCTCTCGTACCTGCTGGAGGGGGTCTCGGAGGCGGCGAGAGTATAGTTCTAATGAAGACATTAGGGGAGCTAATGACGTGCTGGCGGGGGGGGGGGGGGGGGGGGCGTTTGGCAGGTGGGTGCCTCGGGTCGTAATAAGAAGTGTATCGAAGAGGGGGAGGAAGTGGAGGGGGGAGAAGAAGACTCGGACCCGAATCGGAGAGGAATGTCTCGTACTATGGACAAAAGTTAGTGGGACAGTTTTCTCCAAAGTGTAAATAATAACAATAATAATGACAATAATGGTAACGAGTAGGTACGTGGCATGATTACGGCGTGGCGGGGCGGGGCCGCGAAAAGAATGGGACCGAGACACGCACACGGCGGCGGGCAGTGGCGGCGGACCGCGTGGACCACACCGTCAAGACCGTCGTCTCGTTGACCCCTGGGCGGCGTCCTGGACGAGTCCAGGCGGGACTTGGTAATTGGCGTTCATTTATCAGGGCAATTAGCTGCGAAAGCGGCGCGGCACCGCGCGAGAAGAACAAGGAGAGGGCGAGATTGAAGGAAGCGCGAAGATTAGCCTGACCGGGGCTTTGCTGGTTGGCTTTGCTGGCTCTGCGCTGTTTAACATGACAATGCGGCGGAGCGGCGGTGCAACACGGGCCGGGCCAGGAAGCAGACTCATTCCGAGAGTCGTTTTCGTCGCTCTGTCTCTCTCGCGCCTATACGGTGCGCCCCTTGAGTGCGAGAGAGACAGCACGACGAAATCGACTCTCGGAATCAGTCTGCAGGGCGGCCGGGGCGGCCGGGACGTCAAGGCGAGGGAGTGGCGGAGCGTGGCGGCTGCAGCAAACAAGCAGCGCGGCTGCAGGGCTAATCGCCGAGGTGTGCATGTGCTTGTACTCGGCAAAACGGACCGCGCGCGCATGTGTGTGAGTGAGAGTGTGAGCGTATGCATGCACGTCCTCGTGCATGTGTGCGTGAGTGCGGCTAGTAGTGTGTGTGCTGCATAATAGTGAACACAGGCGCCGCCTCCATGTCGGTGCATATGGGCTGATCACAGCCAGTTTAGTTTGATGTAATATTTATTATGGCAGGAGGGGGCGGGGCCGCGTGGCGTGGAGTGGCGGGGCGGGGCGCGGCCATGTCCGCAGCGCCATAGGGGGTGCCGCCCGCGCAGCGCCGCGCCGCACGACGCCAACAAGAGACACACGGTGCGCGGCGCCGCCCGGCCAGCCCAGCCCAGCCCGCCCTGCTTGTGATTGAATTAGGCCGTGGCCTGCCTGCCTGCCTGCCGTGTGACAAGGGAAGGCCCAAGTTTGGCCGTGGAGGTGTTGCCCGCTTGACTCGAGATTCCATCTGGCCCGGCGTGGCCTGCGGTGTGGCGGTGGCGGCGGCGCCCCCTGGGGCCGAGGGCGGCGAGGGCGGCGAGGGCACGCACGCCGTGGGGGTGGCCTGCCGCCGCTGCCGCCTCGCCTGGCGCGGCCCGAGGGCGCCACCGCGTTGTCTGGAGGCGGGGGGCGTGGCGGGCGAGGCGCCAGTTGGCCTCACCGCGGCGTCACGGCGCCGGGATCAAGTTGTCTCCCCGCCTGATTGCGTGTTCTGCTGTCGTTAAGAATCCGTTACCTGCCCCCGCCCCCTGCCCGCCCCCTCCCCGCCGAGCGCCACCTCGCTGCCGCGCCGCCACGGCCACGACGTGCTGGACGCTCTCCGGCGCGCGGGCCGAGGCCGATAGCCGCGCGGCCGCATCAGCGATAATTATTGGCGGCATTTCAAATGCGCGCATCACGCGGCCAACGCCACCGACACGCGAGGGATGTGCGTGTGTGTGTGCGTTCGCACTTCGAGGAACACCCCCGCGGACCTCGGCGGCACTGAGGATTGCCATCGTGGCCCCTTCACAGCACGCACCCCTATGATGCCCAGGCCAGGCCAGCCGTGAGGGCAAGACGGGGCGGGGCGAGGTGGGGCGGGGCGGGGCGGGGCGTACAAGCCAATTACGTACAAACAAGCGAAACGCAGAGGCGGCAAAGGCGGCCGAACCAACAAAAACAATAGGAGAGTCCGGGCCGGCCGGGCTGGCCGCGCCGGGCCCCCGGCTTATCAAGAAAATTGAGCAATTATTAGGGCTATCCATAACGCCGCATCGCCCGGCATCGCCGTCAGGCCGCGCCCGCCTTCGCCTGCATCGCCCTCCCCATCCGCTTCCGCCTCTCTGTCTCTCTCCTCTCTCTCTCTCTCTCCCTCTCTTTCTCTCTCTCCCGCTCTCTCACCCCCGTGCGCGGCGCACAGTGGGCCAGAAGGCCGGTGGAGGCGGCCAAAACTCAAGACGCGATTTGAGCTCCAGAGTCGCTGAACAGGACTCGAACCGAACGTGTGACCCCACCAATGGATTCCTCGTTCGGAGAGCAATCCATTGGTGGGGTCACACGTTCGGTTCGAGTCCTATTTAGCGACTCTGGAGCTCAAAACGCGTCTAGAGTTTTGGCCGCCTCCACCGGTCTTCTGGCCCACTGTGTGGCGCCACCCCGGCCAGTGAGTGCGACAAGGACGGAGACATCCGCCGGCGCGGCCCTCACGCTCACCGCGAGGCATCGTCGCCGCGGACGGGTTGCCTGACTCAAGGGGGCCTCGCCCTGCCTCTCTCGCTCGCACCCCAACGGGCCACCGCGTGAGTGCGACAGAGCCAGAGCGACGAATGCTTCGGAATGAGGCAGCTGGCGGGTAATCTGGATTGCACCTGACACTCGGTGGGCACGGCGGGCACGCAGGCGGCCAGGAGCAGCGCCTCGGACTGCCAGGGTCTCCGCAACGCGCTGCCGGACGCATGCAGTCTGCAGTCCACACAGTGCAGTGCGCTGCGCTGCCCGGCTGCGAGACGGGTCGGGATGGCTGCCGGGCTAATGCGATAATGCCCGACACCTGCTGCAGCACGGCCTGCACGGCCTGCACGGCCCGCAGTGCCTCCAGACGCGCCGTTTATCGGAAACAATAGGAAGGCCGTGACGACGTGTTCGCCTGCCTGGCTGCGTGGCTGCGTGGTCCCATTACAACCATTTCGCACGCGAGGCGAGGGGCGGGGCGGGGCGCTCACGCGGCCCACGCGCTCGCTCAGTTTGAACGGCGCGCGCTTTTCACGGTTATGAAAAATTCAGCGAGTGGCGGGCAGGCATCGATTGCCCGGTAGCTGCACGACGGCCAGGACGGCGGCGCGGTGCACCGGCCACGCCGCCAGTCCGCGCAACCCCCCCGTGGCCTAGTTGGCCACTTAGCACCTTCCTGACCAACCCTTCGGGGTCGGCCCGTCCGGGGCCCGTCGGCCGGCGGGACAGGACCCACTTACGCCCTGATTTATCTGGCCAGGGCTGGCCTATTCATTAGTGCCAGATGCCAGATGGGTGACGGTGGCCCCACAAAAAGCGCCAACGCGCCGACGAGGCGTCATCGGCCGGGAGCACGGCGAACACGGAGAAGGGGGGGAAGAAAAAAGAAAAACCGGTGGGTGTCGGAGCAGCACAGCGGCAGCGCTCTTGTAAGTCTCTAATTGCGTGAAAAGTAAGGGATATAATCCCTCGGCCTATAACTTGCGGCGCCCCGAGTGCCTTGTTTGCTCCTCGGCCCCCTCCTTGCCTCCTCGCCTCCCGGCTCGCTGATTAAATAATTATTGGCTTCCTCTGCAGCTGGCTGCGCTGTGCGACGGACTGCGGGGTGCTGGTGCTTGGCCTGGCCAGGCGAAAACACCGTGTTCGCACCGCCCACGGAAACCAGACGGTGCAGTTTTAAACAGCGTTAAATACTCCCTTGGGAAGGGTTTTCCACACACGCTTTCTGGTTTCTATTTTTAATTTCCTCCCTATTGTTTCATTTTCGTTGTTTTCATGTTGTTTTTTTTTTTAAATCCGCTTGCTGCGATTGGCTCACCGATACGAACACTCAAGGTGTTAAACGTCTCTATTTTTTTCCTCCTGGGGCCGTACGGCCGTTCGCTTTCTCGGAATGAAATATTAAATACCTGATAAACAAAGAGCCCCGCCCCGGACGCTTTTTTCACCCCTTGCCGTCCGAGCGCCCCGCCCCGCCCCGCCCCTGACATGCTAATGCCTCGCGCCGCGGAAAGAGCAGCTACAGGGCGGCCGTAAAACAGGCCCAAATAGAGGCGCCAAACAGAGTGACACCGTGCAGGAAAAAAATCTAGATGTTTACGCCGCCTACGTGTCGCGGTCCTGGCGCCGCTTGCTTTTGCTTCCTCTGTACCGCGTAGTTGGCGACGTGTTCAGAGAGAGAGAGAGGGGGGGGGGAGAGGAGAAAGAGAAATACGATTCCCCGCGGCGGCAATATAATGAGCAGTGCGATTGAATTGAGTGATCAGCGGCCGATACGTCCTGTAAGCGGGGAAAAAAGGGGGAGCGGGCGAGTGGTTGGCAGCCCTGCACGCCACCTGATTACACGTGTATCGTACCAACGGTACCAACCTTGCGAATCAATTATCGGGGCAAAGTTGTCGAATGGGCGACGGGCATGCACGGCGCGACGGCGTGACCGGCCTGTGTCCAGAAGGGGTGCGGCGCACGCAGCGACGGCGTGCTCGACACGGCCTGCCGCAATCAGGCTGGGCAGCCACGGGCAGCACGGCTCGAGTTTTGGCCGCCACAACCGGTCTTCTGGCCCACTGTGCGACGCCGAGACTGCCCCGCCAGGCCTGCCAGCCCACCGTGTTTACGGAAATAAGTTTGAACTCCATGCGAAAGCCCAGCACGACGAAACTCCGTCTCGACCTGTTTGAACCGCGAGGCAAAGGTGGCGGCAGCACTGGTGATGGGAATGCGAGGCGGGCTGCGGACACTGCGCGTCTTCTTCTGTCAGTGCGTGCGCGCTACGCGGTGCTCCGCACAGAGGGCGCTCCGGGAGGCTTTCTTAATTAAATAATTAAATAAGCTCGCCGAGGCGCCGCGAGAAGAGAGAACAGGACTCCCCCGCTGGTTGCTGGCCGGTCTTGGAGTGTTCGCGCCGCTCGCGCGGCCCTGGCCCTAGGCCCTGGCAGCCCGTGGGCGGCTCGGCGACGTGTCTCGTTAGCGCGCGGCCGCGGCCGAAGCGAAGCGACGCCCGGGCGACGCCCCGGACGCCACCCTGGGCGACAAGGACCAAGGACCTCGATCCATTGTTCTGCCGGCGCTCTATCGGCGAGGACGCGCCGCCCCAGTGTACCGACCGCAGAGGCCGGGGCTGGGACGAACACGGTGAGTCGCGTCCAACCCTTCCTCCGCCTCCCACCCCAGGATGTCGAAATGAAACGCAGGACGTGCAAAGAGATATGTTTATTGATTCGCGGCAGTCTTGTCGTCCTCGCACTCTAACAAACACTGTCGTCCAATAGACTAACAAATAAATAAAAACAGATCAGGAACAAACAAATACTCTCATCCGGCACCACAAATCGGCCCGTCTTTACATAATACTATGTTCAATACAAAGCACCGCGCTTTCTCGATTATACTATACCGACGATGATTACAAAGGCGTTTTGTACACCACCCCTACCTCAACACTACCCTACTAGTAAGTCTTACCGTGCGGGTTGGAAATCCTTTACCGCCCCCTGTGATATGGAAAAGCCTAAGACTCCACGACATATATACTCTATAGGAACACGTGGTAGGACACCGCACGGCCTGCCGCAGGGCCTACGGGGCGTCCAGGCGGTGCGGGCCGCGGCGCGGCGACGGCGATCTCCTTGACAGCAGGGACTCGATGCTGAAGGGGTTGAGGCGGCGCTTGGCCACCCCCGCGGGCAGCAGCACGGTGGCGGGGGCGGGGAAGGGCAGGCAGGGCAGGCGGCCGGGCTTGAGGTCGCCGTCGACGCCGCCGCCGCCGGACAGGGGCAGCAGAGTCGCTCTTCGCCGGTCCAGCTGGCTGCCGGGCGACCCGGGGGACGCGGGGCTGCGGGGCGAGGCGGGTCGCGGCGGGCTGCAGGGGCTGCGGGGGCCAAGGGGTGAGCCCCGCTTCACGTAGTTGACCGCCTCCAGGGCCTCGCTGTAAGCAGAAGGGGCGTCAGACACTGCCACACCAGGCACACAGTGTGCCACACACATCATCAATCCTTTCGGCGTGGCGACCGCACGGCGCCGCCCGTGTCGACGCGCCGCCTCGTCACGTCTCGTCACTTCTCGTCACGTCTAGCCCCGGAAGGTCACCCAGGGTAAGCCTGGGCCGCCAGGCCGAGCCAGGCTCATCGCGCGCCACGCGCGGCCACGCGCTGCCATGGCGTGCCACGCCACGCCACGCCACGCCGCGCTCCGTGATCGATTATAATTACCCCCCGACCTGCCTGGCCTGGCGGCTTGGCCTGGCGGCATGGCCTGGCCTCTCGGTCCCCTCGGTCTCGGCCTGCTTTCCAGCGAGCGCCTCGAGCCTCGCCTCGACAGCCTCGACGACGACGCGCTGCACGACCGAACACAAAGCCCGACACTCATTGGCCGCCAATTACGCCGTATTGATGATGTCAGCCACCAATCCGATTACCATACCGCCGCCTAATCGGCCCGCGCGTCAACGCCGAGCTTGAGAGCGCCGGTCATGGGTTCAAATCCAACATTTTTTTTTCCTATTTGTAATTTGGAACTGACCTGCGCGGCGGGCGCGGCGCGTCCTCGTTGTGGTCCAGGGACAGCAGGCGGTGGTGGTGGTCGTCGTCGTCCTCGGCGTCGTCCGCTTCGTCGCCCACCACGTCGATCTCGCGGTACGAGTCCCGCGGGCAGCCCTCGCCGGCGTCGCCCATCCGAGAGCTCATCTCGCTGCAGCCGCTGGACCAGTCGCAGGAAAGCTGCGACGCGGGGACGTGCCAGCTCACGCCCTGCTCCTTGCTTCCGGTTCTTTGGTTGTTGTTGTTGTTGTTGTTGTTGTTGTTGGCCGTACTGCCGTTGTTGTTCTTGCTGCTTTTGGCGCGCTGCTGCGCCTCCCACTCCATCCGCAGCGTCTCCATGTCCACCGTGATGCCCTTGGCGGCCAGCTTTTTCTGCCCGCGTCGCGTAAGTACTCCGTTAGGGCAGAACGAAACGAGACAGGGAGCGCAAAGTCGTTGAAACCTACCTGCTGGCGCTCCAGCGACTTGCGGATCTTCTTCTCGCGGCGGTCCTGCTCCTTGCGGCGCAGCTCCTCCTCGGGGATGGGCTGGCCGCTGCAGGTCTGGGGGTGCGCGTTGTGCGCGGGCCGGCCGGGGCCCTTCTTGGTGTGCTCCTTCTTGCGCCACTTGGCCCGCCGGTTCTGGAACCACACCTGCGGGCCGAAACAAAGCCTTTCTCAAAAACAAACGTCCGCAGAGCCAATCACGACGGCGGCCCCAATTTCGCTCCGACTGTCCTTTTGTTCCGACTTTTTGGCGTGCGCTACCGAGGCTGCGGGTACCGAGAGTGACTGACGGGTACTCGCGGGTACCGGACACCGCTGCGCGGCGATACGCCGCCGGCCTGTTACACCGCCACACCGGCAGCGGGCCGCTCTTCAAAATCCACTCCTCACTCCTGTCTCATCAACAACAACATCATCATCGCCCTCGTCGTTGTCGCTGCCGTTTTTGCCGGCGCCGCCAGCACATCCATCATGTCCACGTCCGGGACGCGGAGGCGCCACGCGTCAAGTCGCGCACCTCCCCGACGCCTCCCCTCGCCGCGGCGGCGTGCCACAGTAGGCCAGAACAGAAGACCGGTGGAGGCGGCCAAAACTCTAGACGCGTTTTGAGCTCCAGCGTCACTAAATCGGACTCGAACCGAACGTGTGACCCCACCAATGGATTCCTTGCTCGAAGAGCAATCCATTAGTGGGGTCACACGTTCGGTTCGAGTCCTGTTTAGCGACTCTGGAGCTCAAAACGCGTCCAGAGTTTTGGCCGGCTCAGCCGCTCTTCTGGCCCACTGTGCGTGCTGCGTTTGAATGCCGGTGGCGATAAGCTGCGATCGGGGAGCGACTTACCGCCACCCTGGACTCCTTGAGGTCGAGCCGCAGCGCCAGCGCCTCCCTCATGAACACGTCGGGGTAGTGGCTGGCCAGGAAGGCCCGCTCCAGCTCCTCCAGCTGCCAGCTGTTGAAGTTGGTCCGCGAGCGCCGCCGCTTGGCCGCCTCGTCCTCGCCGTCTGCGACCAAAACAGGAGCATTAAAAAAATCATTTTGAAATTTGACACTTTAAAAAATTAAAAAGTAACCAAAGACACTGAAAGAGACGCGACGAGTTCCTGCAGTGTACACGACTCGGTAGCGCGGCCGCCGAGCAGCAGGAACGGTAATCACGCGAGGCCAATGAGCCGCGAAGAGACTCCCCCCCCCTCCCCCCTCCCCCGGTCCTTCCCTCCCGCGTCTCTCACATCGGCCGGCCAGTACCGAACCGCTCGGCTCAACCACTTCGCGCCGCTTTTTTGGCACCAATTTCTCACCCATCCGGCTGTCCGTCCGTCCGTCCGGCTGTCCTGTCCCCGTCCGTCCACGCCACCGCGGCCTCGGCCTCCACGACGGCCTGCTCCTTTCAATGGGATTGATCCGGCCGCGGACGCACACTGCGCCCTCTACAAAACCGCTCGGCAATAACCAAAACCTCAAAATTGAGGGTGAAGAAAAAAACTTAAAAAAAAAGGAGTGGACGCTTCGCGTCCTGTTTGACGGCAGGTAAGTGGCGTGGCGGTTTGCGGTGGCGGTGCGCTATGGGACGCTCGGCTCCCTCCGTTATCCTTATTCAATCGCGGCCAGGGCCTTCCAGGCCTTCTTCCTCTTGGGCAGGGCGCGGCGTTGACGCGGTACCGGCCCGGCGGACTGATTCCGAGAGTCGTCTTCGTCGCTCTGTCTCTCTCGCACTCATGGGGCGTCCTGGATAGGTGCGGCGACAGAGACAGAGCGACGAAAACGACTCTCGGTGCGGCCCGCGTGCTTGTTGTCACCGGCGTGTTGATGGCACATTGTGCAGGCCTCGCAGTGTAGGGCCTTGGCGGCGCTTCGCGGCGGCCAGGCGGAACGCGGAATGCGGCACCAGGACGTCGTCGCCGAGCGCGGCCTCCTCGACGGCGACCTGGAGTCCATCCATCAGCACGGCGTGGTGCACCGGCTCGAGGAGCATCGCGCGGCGCGGATTGATGGATTGAATTTGGAATGCAAGTGAGATGGATCGGGCGATCGCGCAGTTTGGACAAGGCGCGGACAATGGCCGCAATTGGCAACGGCTGATTCGAGGGGAGAGAGATGGCGTCGAGGGAACAGTGAAGGGCTGGTGGCGGTGGTCGGTCAACTCCTGCCAATTTCCCTCAATTTTAACCGGGCTTTCTGGCCCGCGGCTCAAACCCTCACTCACCCCAAAGCTGGATTATTTTTTGCAGTTTCCCTTAGTTGTTTAGCGCTTTGGCGTGACCGTCGCGCCAACAACGGACTGGCAGCTAAGTGCTGTTCGGCGCTTTGGGGACCCTTAATATTTACGTTGACGGCCGTGCGTACGGCACGGCCTGGCCCGGCTGGCCCGTGGGCTGCCAGCCCTGCCAGTGCGGCGCGCACGCGATCTTTAATAAAGCGGCGAAATGACGTGTCGCTGTCCCGCCATCGCCGCTGTCTCGCCAAATTGATTTCGGTTTCTGGATTCCGATGAGACGCGTTTTGAAATTCCGCCGGGGCGATATTCCCCCCCCCCTCTTTCCCCCCTGCTTTCTCGCACGCGAAAGTAACGCGGAAACAAGAGGCGGTCGACGCTGTAAAGCATTTTGGCGACCGCCAGTGGCGGCGGGGTGGGGCGGGGCGGGGCGGGGCCGGGCACTTTGGCGAAAGGGGTAAAACGGGGTGTAACAAGGGCAGGCCGGGCCGGGGCTCCCATGACTGCGAAATGAAAAGTTGGCATGTCCGCCCGCACTTTGCACCCTCATTTGGAGTTCCAAGTGAACAGCAGCGGAAGGGGAGGCGCGGAGGGAGGGAGGGGAGGGGGTTGTTGTTTTGGGCCGGAAGCGGAGAGGGGAACAAGACTCGAGACGGACGGAAACGACGCGCAGCCTTCGCCCCGGCCTCCGCGGAGGACTGCCGAAATATTCTTTTTCCTCCCCTCGCCCAATGTTCCTCCTAGGCCGCCCCGCCCCGCCCCGCCCCGCCCCGCCCGTGCCCCGCACCTGCCTCCACCGTCGTCGTGCGCCCGCACGGCCCGCCCGCCCGCCTGGCATTAAAACATTATATCTCATTATTTTATAATCCGAGCGTATTATTCACAAATTGTCGGCCGTTTAGCGTCACTGCGCTGCGCTTGCCGCGACTCGCGGCCCTGATGGCTGTCCGTCGCTCGCTGTCGTGCCTGTCGCTGCCTCCCCATATTGTCGCCGTTATGTTAATGTAACCGGAAAGTAATGACACCGGCATCGGCATCGCGGGGCAGGCCAGGCAGGCCGGCAGGGCGGCAGGGCGGTCGTTTGGAAACTCGGCTGTCCGGCCAGAGGGAACCTCGCTTATCCAGACTCGAGGCTGCTTGTTTTTGATGGTTTTTTCGCCGGTGCGCGGCGTGCATGTCGCGAGTTCATCCGACAAGGCCGAAGACCACGCCGATAACGCGGTTGACGTGCGGCCGGCTCGATCAGATTACATCGGAAATCAAACAGGGCGTTCGTGTCGATGACACGACGGCCAGGTGTCACAGTGTGTCGCCGCACGCACTCACCTGCGTCGCCGGCCTTGTCGGCGTGCTCGGCGTCCTCCATGGCGGCGCGGTGGTCCCGCGTCCACGCCGGCCTCCGGTCCAGCGGCACGGCGGACGACGGCGGCATGGGCGGGCTAGCCGACGACGGCCCCTGGCCCGGCGCCCCGGCGGGCGGCGGCAGCGGCGACCCCGCGAGGTGTCCGAAGCGGATGCCCTGCGGGGCGAGCAGTGCCGGCGGGAAGCCGAAGGCGCCCAGGTTGACGGGGAAGCGGAACTGGGACGCGTGGAACAGCTGCGACATGGGGTGGCCCGGAGGACCGGGGGGTCCCGGCGCCCCGGGCAGGGCGGGCAACCCGCGCAGCGCGGGCAGCCCCAGCCCTCCGTACATGCCGAGCACCATCACTCGCGGGGGCGGGGCAGGCGGGGCAGCGCATCCGGGCGGCGTGCCACCGAGCCGACCAGGGCGACGCACTCCACGACGTCCGCGAAGTCCGCGAGGAGCTGGGGGCACTCAGCGCGGCCCGGCGCGCGGCAGCGACATCGCCGACGAGGCGCCACCGCCATGGAATCCGCGACGACGCCCCGGCCGCGTCGCAAACGCAGTCGCACCGCGCTACCCGCGTCGCGTCGCTGCACCGCCTCGCTGCTCGCGTGGTCGCGACGCCTTGCCTCGCCATACGCCGCGGCCATACGCCTCGGCGCGGCGCGCCATGTGGCCGCCAGCTCCCCACTCCAGGCGGCGGCAGGCAGGCAGGCCGCCCCCCTCCAGCGGGCCCTCCCACCCACGCGCCGCGCCGTCCGCACTCCGCAGCGCGAGGCTACGCGAGGCCCGCGGCCATCTCCCTCTCCCTCCCACCCCGCGCGAGCCGCTCGCTCCCGCTCTCTCTGGCGCGGCGCTGCCATTGGCCAGCCGGCCGGCCGACGCCCTGCCCGGCGCCACGCCCACCGGCCTGCCGCCCCCGCCTCCCCGCCGCCCGCCGCCCGCCGCGGGGGTGGACCTCTTCACTTACTGGGCTCCTCTCCCTGCGCGTCCCCGCGCGGCCCGAATTCACTCTAATGCCTGGCCAAATTCTATCCCACCTGCCCCTCCCCGACACACCGCCCGGCCACCTCCAGCAGAGCCTGGAGGGCCGCGGCCACCCCGCCCCGCCCCGCCCCGCCCCGCCCCGCCCGCCCCCGCCGCGCCGCGAACATTATCTATCTCTTTCACTGCTTCACGCCATTACGGCGGGGCGTTCTCGCGTGAGTCTGCCGAAAATCACTCACTCTCCATTCCGCTGCCGTTTCCGCCGCATGCCGCACCTGTCCCTCCAGCGCCGGCACGGCAACACAACCCCGAAGCGCGGCGGCGAGCGCGCTCGACGACGGCGGCCTGGTTCCGTGGTTCGAATACGCGTTCACCCTCGCCTTCTTCGTTCGGCCTTTGGAGCGTTCGTCCGTTTGACAGAAAGGGGTGCCCGTGCGCGGACAGTACGTAATGTAGACGCCCCTGCCACGCTGCGCGGGCTGCGCCCCTGCGCCCCGGCCGACGCGCGACGCGGCACGTCTGCTCGAGTTTAAAAGACGGCTGGAGGAGCCTCCCCCGCAGCGGGTGCGACGAAGACGGCAACACGCGGCTCGCGTTTCGGAATGCAGAGGCGTGGCGGCGAGGCGAGGCGCCGGGGGAGGCGCCACGAGAGGCTCCCAAGTTAATAATCGAAAACAGTTTGTAATAACAAGACACTCCGCGCGCCGCCTCGGGCGCCTCGGGGCTGGAGGGGGGAGGGGTAGACGCCCCCGGCTTGGGGAGGGTGGGCCCCGGAGCGGTGATGGGCCAGCAACTTAGCGCGCACGACCCCAGCATAAGGGCCGCGCCAGCCCGCCGCCCCCACCCCGCCCCCACCGCCCCTAGTGAGCATCATCAGCTGCCCATAAGTCGGCCGCCACCCCCTCCACCCCGCTTCCCCTTCACGCGAGGGGCCAAAGTTTTATTTCAAAGAGGAAGGAGATTCGCTGGCGTCACCCCAGCAGCACCGCCTGCCTGCCTGCCTGCCAAGCTCGGGGTATGGGTCACTTCTTCGAGTCTTTTTTTCTTCTTCTTTTTTCGCTCGCTTGGGACACGACGAGCCTAGATGTTCTCCGGCGCGGTTTTCAACGAGCGAGTTTTCCTTTTCCAGTCGAGTTTTCTTCGCCGCGCGCAAGTTTAGATGAGGTGAAGTAAGCGTAATGTCGCTGTGCGCGCGGAACTCCCGCGCGCAGTGTGCCAGCCAGGCAGCAAGCCAGACAGCCAGCCAGCCAGCCAGCACGCCTCTCTCTTTTGCGCTCCTGTTTCATTTTTCAGAGCGTCTCAGCACCTGACAGCGCGCACTAACACACACACGCGCGCGCTGCGGTTCCGCGTGACCCCTGCCCCGTGCCCGCGGCCCGTGCCCACGGCTACCCACGGCCTGCCGATGCGTCGGGGCAAACGGTCCAATCAGGCCGAGCGGCGCGGCGCGCTTCGGCGGTCAAACGGCCGATCGGCTGCTAGGTGACTAATGCCCCGTTGATTGGGGCTTAATTCGCTCACCGCCCGGCTCACCGCGCACTTCACCGCGCGTCCGTCCGTTCGTCCGTTCGTCCGTCCGTCCGTCCGTCCGTCGTCTGCTCGCCTGCCTATTTGTCAGTCAGCTCGTCCGCAACAACTAAAACTTTTGGAAACACGGCTGGGCGTCCCAATCACGGGCGACTCGATAAAGTGTTTCTCTCTCCGGCGCGAAAGAAAATAAAATAAAATAAAACTTTTCGGGCGCGATTCACACATGTTTCGGGATGCCGCACTCCGCCTGTACACGCACTCCGCTAATCGTGCATGAAATAGGGCCGTCCTGCACCGCTGCCTCTGTGTGTGTGTGTGTTGTGTTGTGTGTGTGTGTGTGTGTGTGTGTGTGTGTGTGTCGCCCCGCTTCCCAGTGGCGGTCCATTTTCCGCCGCTTCATTGATACCATCAATAGCCGCCCGGCCACCCATTACAACACATGCGTTCGCTCGCTGCGTTCGCTACAGCGATCGCCCTTTTTAACGTGCCCGCGTTTTTTTCCACCCGCGCCTTGTTCAAAATGAAACGATTTCCGCTTCCGGTTTCCGGTACTAGGAAGCACCGAGTTACGCGCGCGGTTAAGCCATTTGGCCGTTTTTTTCGTGGTTGTTTTTTCGGGTGAGTGGAAGGTAATGGGTGCACTTAGTGGCGCGCTCCCAAGATGCTGGAGGCCCTGGAGGCCCTGGAGGCCCTGGAGGCCCTTGCAGGCCTGGAGGCGCGATGCGGGTCCCTCCCGGTTTTGGCGCTACACTAGGCGCCTTGCTCGGCCCGGGGCTAATCATAAGGTGAGACAGCGACGAGCGCCAACGGGGCGGGGCGGCCCGTCGGAAACAGGCCCGCATTATCGCTTCCAAACCGTGTTTGTTTTCGGCCGGTCGACGTCTTAATCTCTTTCCAGAAAATAATCGGGGGGACGCTGCTCTGCTTGGCCCTATGGTCGGCACGGGGCGGCTAGATAGCCCGGCTGCTGCCATCAGGCTCTCATTATACGCTGCACCGGAAAGGCGGTCGCCGTCCTCGTCGCTCTGCAGGCCGCGGCCTGGGAGAGAGAGAGAGAGAGAGAGAGAGAGAGAGAGAGAGAGAGAGAGAGAGAGAGAGAGAGAGAGAGAGAGAGGCGTGATTGGTCCACGTGGCCGGCGTGCAGCGTGGACAGCCGGCCGGAAGACATGTGGCGAGCGCTAGGGACTGGAGGACTGGAGGGCTGGAGCGAGCAGAGGGGCCGGACGCCCGGCAGGTAGGCCTCCGCGCTGCAGCCGTGTCCCGCGGGAGGGCCTATGCTGCAGGGGTTCGCGAGCTATCCTGTACTCGGCCCGCGAAACGAACCCGAACCCGGGCCGCGTGGAACCGTTGAACAACCCGGACTGCGCGTCAGTGTAGAGTGCTGGGATGGCCACCTGGCGGCGCGGTAGGTGTTTGACGGACTGCTCGGTGTCCGTGCACCCAACAAGGCTGATTCTGAGCGACGGAAACGACTCTCGGAATCAGTCGGCACGGCTGAGCCCCCCGGGGGGCGGCGCGCCGCGCCTCGCGGGGTCGCGAGAGCGGGAATCACTTTGTCGGATCACGGAGTGACACAAAAGACCGAAAGCGATCGGCCGCCGCGTTTGTGGGCAGCTCGCCGACGAGCCAAGGCGATTGCGATGAGCACGGCGAGGTCACCACCGAGTCGCCCCGCTCAGAGAGGTCGTTGTTTTTCGAGTGCGCCGCCCCGGTCGCTGTGTCGCCGTGTCCGTGTCTCCGCCTCGGCCTCCGCCGAGTGCTCCGACGACGCTCCTCACGGAAGTCGGGGTCACGGGGTCTCCGATAAACACGATGACCCGCCGGCCAGCAGCAGCAGACAGGCTCCGTCAAGAGTCGTTTCTTCGTCGCTCTGTCCCCGTCCACACACTCTTAGTGCGCGTGAGTGCGAGAGAGTCGGAGTGATTCTTCTGAACGGCTCGGCGCAGACTCGGCGCGCACGACATCATGTCGTCCTTGTCTCACCCCCTGGTTCGTCGGGCTCCTCGCGAGGTTTGGCGCGGCGGGTGGCAAACCAGGAGTCAGGCTGTCTGGCCAGCCGGCCGACACGCGTTGCGTTGCGTCTTGCTCAAAGTCAGCGGCAGTATTCTCTCCCTCTTTCTCTTCCAACTACTCGGCCGACTTTTCGAGCCAACAAAAGGAGCGCCGCTTCGCTGCTTGTTTTCGGTCCGACTACTAAAGAGAAGACGAGGCCCGGCCTAATCGGTGACAGGGGCCCGCTTCTGACCCCGTGCACTCCTTCCACTCTTCCACTGAGAGGATGATGAGTCACTTTGGGCCTCTGAAACTTTCCTTTCGCAATGTAGCGATATGCTCCTGTGCGTGCCATCCATCATCCGCGGACTTCTCCCCCCCCCCCCCCCGCGAGTGCCCAGCCAATCACAGCGCGAGTGCCCCTCCGCCTGGATAGTTTCTCTAGCTGCCGTCCGCGAGGGCAGAGCAACCGCAAGCAACGTGCTAGAGACACCAGCAAAAACGCAGCCAGCTTATCCGACAGGTGATCTGGCCTGACCCGCCGGAATGGACTTCCCCGCAGTCTGGTCCCAGCACGACGGCGACTGCAGACTGACTCCGAGAGTCGGTTTCGTCGTTCGGTCTCTCTCGCACCTACAGGGGACGCCCCATGAGTGCGAGAGATGAAAACGACTCTCGGAATCGCAGCCCGCTGCACGGACTGCCCGCCTTTTGCTGTCACACTGTCGTGTCGTCCGAGACTGCGGCTCTGGCGTGGCCGGGCGGTTCACTGCAAGCGAGGCTACCTGCCGTACCTGCAGTGCCTCCACCGGGATACCCGTGCTAAATTAGTCGGACAT